TGTATTATCAATGTATGTATAGAAAGCAATCTCTTAGTACAGCACTTGGCTTTTTGATTTCACCCACTCTTGCTTCAGTAAGCCAATAAAGGCAGAAAGAGATTTGTAAATATCCTGTATTTGTCTCTTGTGGAAATGTACTGTATGCAAAAAATTAACCTTCATTAAAACTTCTGAAATGTAGACTACCTAAAGGGGGTCTAGTAGGAGGATCAACAGAATCTATGCCATCCATATGTGTTTGTGTCCATTTTTCTTTCCACATGAGACTCCAGCTTGGCAGGCAGGTGACAATAAAGACAGGTCCTTTACCCATTGTGCACATAACATGGTCTATTGCAGTGTTTTTCAACCTTTTTTGTGCAAAGGCACACTTTTTTCATGAAAAAAATCACGAGGCACACCACCATTAGAAAATGTTAAAAAAATTTAACTCTGTGCCTATATTGACTATAGAGAAAATAATTCTCCCACGGCACACCTTACACTATGTCACGGCACACTAGTGTGCCGCGGCACAGTGGTTGAAAAACACTGCTCTAGACTGAGCTACTGGCTACTTTAGAATAAGTAATAACTGGCTAATGGTACTGTCTGTAAGCATCACACTTGCAAGCAGATGTTAAAAAACACAAAGTGAGGAAATGCAAGTTAGGTTTAAGATTGTATTTGGAATTAATTGCAGATGAAATGGATAGTGTGTTTTGGAGCTGCACTAAAATGTTTTCCTGACCATATTTCCAAAGGATATCATATAATATCTTTTCAGTGCTCCCTCCTCTGTTAGAAATACTCTATGCCAGTGTTTAAACATTACCTTATTACTCCAGCTTCAAAATCACAGCTTTATTACTCTCTTCCACAATTCTAATGGAATGCTTCCAACATCTTTTCTCCCCCCCTCCCCCTCCAAATGGTTGACAAAAATAAGTGGAAATTTGATAGGACAGCACAGTGAATTATATGGTCTGCTTGGCACTTCAAATCTTACATGCTTGTGTTTCAAGTAGCTGTGTTCAGATTATACAGTTGAACTTAACTCCAAGGTATATATAAAGTCTCACTTTAAAGTAAACGATTCCAAGTTTCCCCAGCTATATTTTGCTGCTAATTTTCTTCACACTTCTATAACTTTTTAAAACTTCCACTTCACACAGGGTCATTATTCTATATTGTATGGGGCTAGCTAGCTTTGCTGTATTGTACATTATTTTATATTGTATGGGAGTGCCATCCATGTTTTGCTATCTAATGGAGGGATAAAATGCTTTCTCATAGCACAAACAGGGGTACCGTGCTTTTTAGTGGCTGATAATTTATGTGGAAGATATATTGGTGTCTTTTACTAAAGAAGAACAAATGGAAATTACTTGGAACATCAGCTATATCCATTTTTATGCTATATTATTAAATATGTAAGAAGTTTGGTTTCCAGTCTACTGTAAATAAGCAAATATTTCATGTCTACCCGTATTCTTTTGGTAATGCTAGAGCTTAGAAATGAATTATTTCTGGATACTGCATCAGACAAGCCAGCTGTGAAGTATTTATTTTTGAATTTGCAATACACCTGTATTCTAAAAATCATGCTGTTTTAAGATAGAGCCTTTAAAAGCAGTATAATATTGTAATATTTTTGAACTAAGAATAAACATTGAAGGACTACATATTTTTGAACTAAGAATAAATATTGAAGGACTACACTAGGGCATATGAACTGCCATTCAAATAATGTTAAAATTTAAATATATTGTTCCTGGTGTTAACTCCTGAAGATATACCTTCAAATAAAGATAGTGCTCAACTTATGACCACAATTAAGCCCAAAATTTCTGCTATTAAGTGAGACAGTTTTTAAATGAATTTTGCCCCATTTTAAACCTTTCTTGCCACAATTGTTAAGTGAATCACCTCAGCTGTTAAATTATAACAGCTGTTAAGTTGTTCAGTGAATCTGACTTCCCTGCTGACTTTGCATTTCAGAAGGTTGCAAAAGGGAATCACATGACCCTGGGACACTGCAACTGTCATAAATATGAGTCAGTTGCCCAGTGATTGGACATACAAGGAACTTGTCTTCGGTACATAAGCTCTCAGTGTACATAAAAGGTCTAAGTGATCAATCATGATCATAGTCATCATAAAAATAGATTTGCTACTATAGAACTAAAAATGTTTTGCACTACACACACACACACACTTACTTCAAGGATCTTCAGAAAGACAGAATCAGAGAAAAACTCTGAAAGAAATCTGAAAAAGAAAACAAAACATAGGCAATGAGAATAAATCATCATCTGTGAAAATAGTCAGGAAGAACAATGAGTATGTCAGGGTTCCAAGTAACACCTCCAGGCTCCAATGCAAGGAGACTCCGAGACTAGAAGTTCCTCATAGTGTCATATTGGCACATCTGGGGAAACCCAAATCTGAAAGCTTCCAGGTTTTCCCCACCCAAAAGAAAGCCCAGGTCCCTTCCCCTTCACCGACATGTCCATCATATGGTCCAATCAATGCACCATCCCAACTGGAGATGTCTCCCAGTCACGCTACTCTAGGTGCAGGCCAAATGACCTTGGCTCTCAGAGAAAGGAATGTTGTTATGGCTAGATATCCCCGCAACTCTGCAATCCACACTCCCAGTTTCCCATAGCACTAAGTGTGGCAGCACTGAAGATCCAAATAAAAAGATGGCCTCCAGGGCTGACTGTTTTTTTTACAAAATATCAAAAGGCATGTGAGAAAAAATATTTCTACACATTGGTCTCTGTTTCACTACTATTTGAGCTTCATAAACCATAGTTTTCAAATTATATAATTCAGGCAGATTTTTAGCATACACAATTATAGTCTTGTATTGTTTCTATAATTAACAGGCTCTTAATGGCCATCACTGACTGCCAAATGGCCAGAATTGCCAGAAAATATTTATTAAATGGTATATAAATTTAATAAGTATAACAACAAATAAATTTTCCACCAAGTTGGAGAATCTATGATCCTCTTTTGCTAGATTATAGCCCCGTTTTTCCTCACGAATGGCCGTAATTCATGGGATCAGTGAGTGTTAGAAGAGTGTTCCGTATGTTTCTGACTTCGGATTTGTATCAATTGCTATGTATTACATATTTATTTTCTTTAATGAAAATCAGGGTGGATTTGATTTAAATCAAGTCAATTAAAATCACAATTAAAATCATGATTTAAATCACTAGTAAAAAGGCTTGATTTAAATCAACTCGATTTAAATCATAATTTTTAAAGAGCAACTGTCATCTCTATCCCACAGTGCCTCCTCGTCTGACCCGCTGTTGACTCACTGACAGTCCCATTCACTTTAATGGGACGTCTGGTGATGCGGCAGTGACACAACAAGATGAGGGATGTGGCAGGCAGCTGGTGAGTGGATGCCTGCTACCAGGCACTGCCATGCAGAGGTGGGTTGCTCTTGGTTGGGCCCGGTTCAGGCAAACAGTAGTGGCAGCGGCAGTAGGCTCCTCCCACACCCGTGTGCGCACGCGAACTGGTAGTAAAAATAATGGAAACCCACCACTGCTACCATGATGGATCCTAAATGACAGATGCTCTTTAATATTATATTTATAAGCTGCTTAGAAGGTTTCACTTTCATTTTTACTGCTCGCCCTTCCTCTTAGACTACAGATGCATTTCTCTTCAAACAATCATATAGTTTGTAGTGTACATAGATTTCCAAAGCAATGGGATAAAGGAATATTCCTGAACTTTCTTTTATGATTTATCTCATCGTTACTGTGAAATTGTATGAATGCACCAATGCAGTGCATGTTATCTCAGCATGCAGAGCTTGGATTCATTGAATGAGTTTACCAAAAATGTAAATATTGCAGAATTTACAGCCTCATGCTACATAACTAAGCTCCATTTCATGCTGAATAAACTAAATTATTAATGTATGTTAATTAGAAAACTATCTTGAGATAAATTTTTACTTCAAAAACATTTTATTAAAATAAATTTGATAAAAATTTTAAAAATCCTATTTAAATTTTTAAAAATCCAATTTTTGCATTATTATTGTTGTTGTTGTTGTTGTTCTTCTTCTTGTTGTTATTTAAAGCATTGATTTTTATTCACCCTGATGAAAATAATATGTTACACAATCCACCTTGCACCTTCTGGGCTT